GCAGTCCGGATCCTGACAAATTTCTCGGTCTCGTTAGCAGTCACACGGTAGCAGTCCTTCGCAAAACAAAGCCAAAGCTGCCGCTGAGGCCACACAATCCACGCCGCCTCGCCCACTTCTTCTTTATTGACTTTCTCTTTTCTCCTTCGCAGGTAACTTTAACTCATTCTCATTCTCAGTTTTGATTTCGCCGTAGTTTCCACTTCCGGCTTTGATTTACTCGGAACACAGCTCATCGTCTAGGGTTTTGCACCGATTTCTCATAGATCTCGTTCTTCTGTTATTCTATTTCCGCTCTCGTGCATACGTTCAATGTATCTGTTGCTTTTGGCGATTATTGCGTGAATCTACAGCGTATGATGTTTGTTGTCATTTTGGGGTTTGGCATGCTGCTGGGTTTAGTGTTTGACTCTGATTGTATGCTTAATTGCTGATTGTTTCCTGATCCAGATATCGGAGCCATTTAAGACTTCATCTAAAGCTGAAGAGAGAAAAGTATAAGAAATTTAAACGACAAAAGGAAAATTGTCTCTCTTTTTATATTGTTATTATTTTGGTTAATTCCCCTTGAATGTAGTTGTTGAGGATTGAATTTGTTTGAATATTGTCATTCTCTTAGAAAATATAGGAAATATGCCTTAGATATTACAGTCCTTGATATGTTTTCCTGCTGTTTCAATCCAGCAAAAGAAACCAAGTCATTTGCCTGAACTGCTGCCTCCTTCCCCACCCTGTTCTCTGTCTATTCGTTTATTACATGAATTGTGATTAAGTTGTGCATAGCAAAAGTGCAACTTCATCTGGGACAAATGTGGACCAAATGAATTGATTAAGATGCTGAAAATGTATAGCTTTTGATTTATTGTGTTAGTAAAGGTGGTCATTGTTCATATAGTTTCAATTGAAGTTTGTCATTATGCGATGGGTATTCGGGTAACCCCTTGCTTATTTGTGTATATCTGGTTGTACTGCAGCCAGAAACTTGGTTGGGTAGTGATAATTGGACGTTCTTATGCTTTTCCGGAGAGCAGTCTGGTGGCATTTCTAATTTCATGTAAAATGATGCTTCTCTGAAAATTTTTTCCCCTTAAATGTGATGATTTCTTCCAGTGGATGTTCAGACCGTTGTGCTTTTTGACGTGGTCCAATAGATAAATGAGATACCTGTACATTATGGGCATAAATTATAATTTCTTCCCCCAGTAATATTGTTTCTCACAGCATTAACATGTCATGCAAATTTTTGCAAAATGTGTTGAGTTGTATTATATGCTTTGCCAAGTATGTTGTTGCATCATTCAAATTGTCGAAAATGTATTTGCATTTATATCATTACTTTTTGGAACAGATCTTACTTTCATTTACTTGGATATAGATGAGATGTTTAACAATTATGTACTTAATTGTGCCTGTTGGCTAGGATTTAATTTTGGACTAGATGGTAGCAAGATTCAAGCAATTGCAGTCTAAGACACTTTTTCTTCCACCTCCTTTACTATCAGTGCGGTCTCTTTCTTCCTCTTGTGCTGCTCCCAGAATCATCGACTACAACAATATAGCTACCGATTCTCAATTCAGAAATGCCAAGATCCCAAGATTTGGGTCGCCTGATGCACCCACAAAGGGGTCCAGAAATGGAGGGAGGAACAAAGAAGTCCCAAGATTCCGACTCTCAAATGGGTCCAAAAGGGGGCCGAGAAATCTCGATTCTCCTGATTTGGAGCTGCTTCCCATGCAAAGAGGGATTAAACGGAGAATTAGAGAGGATTATTTAGGTGGGGTGGATGACGACGGCGGTGTTGTAAATTTGGACAGAGGAAAGGTGTTGAGATGGTACTCGGAAACCTTTCGGTATTGTGCTGTAAATTTATGCTTGAATGAGGGTAAAGTTTTTCATGCAAATTTGATCAAGATTGGGATTGACCCTGACAGTCATTTATTTGTTTCGTTAATTAACTTTTATGCTAAGTGTGGAGCTTTGAGCTTTGCGCGTAGGGTGTTAGATGAGATGCCTGAGAAAGATGTAGTGTCGTGGACTGCTTTGATTTCGGGGTTTGTAGCTGAAGGGCTTGGCCAAGAAGGTGTTGAGTTATTTTGTGAGATGAGGAGGGAAGGCATAAGACCTAATGAGTTCACGTTGGCAACAGTGTTAAGAGCTTGTTCCATGGTCTCTGGTTTAGAATTCGGGAAACAGTTGCATGCTGAGGTTGTTAAAGGGGAGGCATTTACAGATGTTTATGTTGGTTCTGCTTTAGTTGATCTTTATGCTAAATGTGGTGAAATGGAATATGCAGATAAAGTATTTTTCATCATGCCGGAGCAAAATGCTGTATCATGGAATGTTTTGCTTAATGGGTATGCCCAACTGGGTGATGGACATAAACTTTTGATTTTGTTCTGTAAAATGACAGAGTCTGATATGAGGTTCAGTAACTATACCTTGTCAACTGTTCTGAAGGGATGCGCAAGTTCGCGGAGTTTGCGGGCAGGCCAGGTTGTTCATTCAATGGCAATCAAGATCGGGAGTGCCTTTGATGATTTTATTAGTTGTGGTCTAGTTGATATGTATTCCAAATGTGAGTTGGCAAATGATGCACTGCAAGTATTTAAGATGATCAGGGACCCTGATATTGTGACTTGGAGTACGATGATAAGTGGCCTTGATCAACAAGGACAGAAACTACAGGCGGTGGAGTTGTTTCGTTTGATGATGCAATCGGGATTGAGGCCTAACCAATTTTCACTCTCAACTGTTGTTAGCACTGCCACGGATTTGGGTGATCCACACTTTTGCAAAAGCATTCATGCTTGCATTTGGAAATTTCATTTTGAGTCCGATTTGTCAGTTAGCAATGCTCTGATCACCATGTACATGAAACTTGGTTTAGTTTATGATGGTCTAAAGGTTTTTTCTGCGATGAGTCAAAAGGATGTGGTTTCATGGAATGCACTTTTATCTGGATATCATGATGGTGAAAGTTCTGATCAAGGACCAATGATTTTTAAGAAGATGCTTACAGAGGGCCTAATGCCAAACCAGTACACTTTCATAAGCACTTTGAGGTCTTGCACTAGCCAGCTAAATGCTAGTTTTGGGAAGCAAGTGCATGCCTATTTACTTAAGAGTAACCTTTGTACTGATGGTCATGTAGGAATTGCTCTGATTGACATGTACTCTAAGTGCAGATGCCTGGATGATGTGGAGTTGATTTTTAACAGATTGAGTGAAAGGGACATCTTTACTTGGACAGTTCTCATTGCTGGTTATGCTCAAACTGATAATCAAGGAGAGAAGGCCCTTGGCTTCTTCAATCGGATGCATAGGGAAGGAGTCAAAGCTAACGAATTTACTCTGGCCAGCTGCCTGAGCGCTTGCGCTGGGATAGCAAGCCTTATAAATGGACAGCAGCTGCACTCCTGGGCAATTAAGTCTGGACATTTTTGTGATGTATATGTGGCCAGTGCACTGGTTGATATGTATGGAAAATGTGGTTGCATAGATGATGCTGAAATGATATTTAAGAGCATAGAAACAGTTGATACAGTGCTGTGGAACACAATGATATGTGGACACTCCAAACACGGGCAGAATGAAAAGGCTCTTCAGTCTTTTGGAGCCATGTTGAATAAAGATGTGCAGCCTAATGGGGTTAGTTTTATTGGTGTCCTTTCTGCATGCAGCCACATGGGTTTGGTTGAAGAAGGAAAGAAGCATTTCCACTTGATGAGCGAATTATATGGAATTGCTCCTTCAGTTGATCACTATGCTTGTATGGTTGATATCCTTGGCAGGGCAGGCAGGTTTAGCGAGCTGGAAAGCTTCATTCAACATATGAAAATAGCTCCAAATACGTTAATCTGGGAGACTGTTCTTGGGGCTTGTAAAATTCATGGAAATGTAGAAATGGGTGAAAAAGCTGCTCAAAAACTTTTCGAAATCGATCCTGATGAGGATTCAAGTTATATATGGTTGTCTAACATATATGCAGCCAAAGGTAGGTGGAATGATGTCTCAAGAATTAGAGCATTAATGTCGAGTAGAGGTGTTAAGAAGGAACCTGGTTGTAGCTGGGTTGAGGTCGATGCCAAAACGCATGTCTTTTTGTCCCAGGATGCTTCACATCCACGATTAACTGATATTTATCAAAAGTTGGAGGACCTGCATCAAAGACTTCAGTCAATTGGTTATACTCCAAACACACATTATGTGCTTCATAATGTACCAGATGCTGTTAAGAAAGAAAACCTCTTTCATCATAGCGAGAGGCTAGCTTTGGCTTTTGCACTTGTGAGCAATGCCAATGGTGGAAGAATTAGAATCTTTAAAAATCTTCGCATATGTGGAGACTGCCATGAGTTCATGAAGGGTGTGTCTGACATTACAAACAAGGAAATTGTCATTCGTGATTCCAATCGCTTCCACCATTTTCACAATGGAATTTGCTCTTGTAAGGATTATTGGTGATTGTGACACTGATGAATGAAGTTGAAGTTGAAGTGCATAAAAGGTTAAGTATAGTAGCAGTTTGATATCCCATCAACTTATGTTTTCGACTTTCATCCTTAATCATTTATGTCTCTTTTATTTGCTTGGATGCAGCTTGTTGAACAAGACTCTAAAGGACAGTGCAATTCAGAATGTAAAACAATTGATGAGCTTGTCAAGAGGTAATATTTATGTTTTTGTTAATAAGATTTTACCAGTTGTTCCGCTGTATACTTTGACTGGCCAAAATTTTAGATACTGCATGTACAGACATTCTTAGTATTACATAGAGTATATTTTAAGGAAAAATCAATTTCCTGTTACTGTATGTGGCAGTCAGAGTGAGGAAACTAATGTTACAACTGTTAACAAAATAGATTACTTGCCTGGCTTGCTTAACTTTGACAAGCCCTTTCTGCTTTCTGCATTTCTCATTGAATTTGCTCCCATCTTTTATTGACCCCTTTGGGAGGCATAACACCAAGATATTAAAAGCTCCAACATTTTGCAGGTCATGGGGTATTCGGATACTGATGTGGCAGAATACCTGTACAAGAACAAACCTCGGGTTGATTCTCTAGTGAAATTTCTTTGTAAGGACCTCAGAGGAGCATGCAGCAAAAAGCCACCTAAAGTTCCTGAGGTAAATTTTCTCTGACGTCTACTGGCTAGTTTTCAAGTTAAAAAGATATGCTGAACCGTGGATTTCAGTAGTTTTTTTTCTCTATTGGGCCCATAAGGCAATCCATATAGCTATTTTAAATGCTTCTCTAGTCAGGTGGCAAGAAACTGGACTCTGTTGCTGTATATAAAATTTTCTGTGTTCACAAACAATTGATTCAAGTGCCTTTGGGTATTCGTTATAGATGTAGACAACTAGGCTAGTTTCTCTGATTCTATCAATTAATGGTAATTACTGAAAATTTAAAGTGCAAAGGACTTAGAAGAGTTTAAAGCAAGGGCATAAATTCCTGGATTAGTTCTTATTGGTAATATGACATAATAATTTTATGAATATAACCAGACATAGAATTAGTGAAAGAGCCAATGAATGTGATTCTTGATAGATGTTGTACCAATTTTGAGAGCCATAGTGGAATTTATCTGATGTTAACATTGAAAAGTTTGACCATGACAAAACCATGTGTAACATGTCTAGTTTTTCGTGGAAATGAATAGGTGGACTAAATAGTGAAATGATGGGTTCAAATTTGATAGGTGTGGTTATTGAGTATTGGTCCCTGCAACAAAAGGATGTTAAGAAACAAATTTGTGTGTTATGCCTGGGTAAAATGCCACATGGGTTATCCATGATGCTTCAACAGATGCATCTGAAGTTATGAAGGGTCTGCTCTCATGCTTCAGTTTTTCTTAATCTGCTTAGGAAAAAAGTGATAATTTTAAAAAGCTATTTTAAGAGTTAAAGGATATTTGTACTTGAAAGATTATGAAAAGTACATCAAGCCTGCTTGATATAGTCAATTCTGTTTTTGCTCAGTAATCTAATTGGAAAAGTATGACTGATGAGAACTGTCTAGACAGATGGCATACAACAATTTCTCTGTTTAGGAAATTCACAAGGCTCAAGTTACTTATATTTATAGTGACAGGAGAGAGAGAGAGTTGTTAAAAACCCATGGAAGTTTAAAGGTAGAACATATAATGCCATATCTAACAAATGTGACAAAATGCAAAGCTGCTGTTGAGAGATTTTTAAAGACTGGATAAGGTTGCTTCTAAAGCATGATGTTGTATTGATAGATCTTGTCACCAAAATGATGAGCATATACCAAGGATACTGTGGTTTTGATGTTGAAATATTTCAATGTTATAGCTTATCCATAAGTACCACCAAGGTGTTAGTTAGCGCATGCATTGTAGCCATTGCAAGGCCAACTCTCCTCTACCCCCTACTTTTAATTTAATCATCAAGTGCTAATTCTATATGGGTGCACCATGACTTTTAAGACGTTTACAGAGATCAGAGATTACAGCTGACATCTCCGTTTGCACATGCTTTATTGCAGATATAAGCATCATCTCTGAGTGGAATTTAATATGGATATTTGAGCTTAGCTAACAAGAAAAACTTGTTGTACGCGTTTCTTTGATTAGTTATCATGGTTGCCTGTTCTGTTTATCAGTACCTTTTGCTAAAGAAATGAACCTTGTGATTCTTTCATTGTCTTGTCAGGATAGGATTCCAGGAGAGCCTTTTGTTCCCAAGTCCTCCAAGGAGGCTGAAATGGAGAAGATACCAAAATCTATGGAGGTGATTATCTGATATGTGAGAATGGCAGCTTCCTTTTACTCTTATGGTCAATCTTAATTCTGATCTTACTTTCGTGCTTCAGGGGATGCCAGGAGCTCCTGGCATGAAGATGTACTCAAAGGAAGATTTGATGAATACAAAAAACTTCGGTGATGATGATGTAGACGAGGAAGATGATGAAGATGAGGCACAATTTCCTTCAAATTTGGTAGCCAAGAAGATCCTTTTTTGCTTGAATGTCATTTAATATAAGTGATTCCCATGCTAACTCAAAATATTGCTGCAGGGAAAAGTCTTGAGGGAAAAGGAAAACAAGAAGGATGATTGGACACGAAGGATTACAAAAGGAATCCTAAATGCTGGCGAGACAGTCAAGAATCATGCAAACAAAGTCTCCCACCGGATTAGAAAGTGGTGGAAAGCAAAGAAGGCTGTATTGAACAAGAAGAATTCAAATGCCAAGAAGTCAGAGCTCTAGTCCGTAAAACACTTTTTAACAACAGCAATTCCTAAAGTGGATTCAAAATCCAAGTCCAACTAAATCCCTCAATCACAAAAAGTAAAGTAGAGTTAGAGGCTGCCGCCTACTAAAATTTCTTTCAGAGAAACACTCCTAAATGAGCACAAGCAACATTATGAATTTCCGAATTTTAAAGAATAAATGTCAGAATTCTAGGTTTATTTGCCTTCAAAAGTTGTCGGCTTTTGAAGGTTGCTCGGGGATTTAGGTTTATTTGCCAAATTCTTGATTTTCGTCAAGAAAATGTCAGAAAAAAAACTTTAAAGAATAAGAATACACTGTCAAGTTGAATCCTCGACAATCCAAGTTACAATCACAAGGATCCTCTACTTCACGCATGCCACAATCACCAATAATCCAAGCAGGCTGCTCATATGATCAGCGCGTGTAGCAATCCACGCTGACATAATGTACTATAGATTATCCTTTGCATCTCAACCCATAGAGCAAAGAAAGAGGCAGAAGCAACTTTGAGCATATGAGCGCCAAACAATTTACGCATCCGGAAACACTGAGTCCTTGACGCCTGACAGCATCGACCATTTTATGCTTAATCAATTATTGCTGCCTTCATACAAAGACTCTACACAATAGTCATGCTAAAAGCCCAGGTGAAAGAGAAGCCATTAATATTTGTTCAAGCGACAATGTAAACAAAACAAACTGAACACAGAAGAGCCTGTTTCTCACTCGAGCAACAAAATTATGTAGCCAGAGAATAGTTCTTCAAGTTAGACTACAGCTGATTCTCACTTCAGAAACAGCTAGGACACAAAAAACTTGGTACACATACATGTACAGATACAATGATAGCTAATATTATCTGATACAGCGACACCTAAGGATAGATATCCTTGCACACATTTCCGGCCAATTTATCCATTGTGTTTAATTGAATGCATTACTTAGTAGACAATCGTCTGTCTATCTCCTTTTGCACATTCAAAGAATACTGTTGACAAGGAACAATTCTTGCCCCTGACAACTTGCTTAAGCTATTACAAGTGCAACTAATTTCTTGCTGCTGCTGGTAGAATATTCAAAAAGAACATACACAGAAATCTATATTCTACGTTTTTAGCTACAACATACAACACTCATATCAAAGGAATGACTAGAGTTAACGAAATGGCTGATTTGCAAGTTAGAGGTACAGGAACATATTTTGTACTTCTTTGATTTCTGAAATATCAGAAGATAGAAGCAAGAAAGAAAGCTACCCTGTCATTTGGGGCTGCAGCATGTCCATAGTGGAGAACAGCGCTGAAAATGAAGACATAAACTATGAACCAACAATTTTTAGCAATCAAAGAAATATCCATCTTACGTACAACTGACCTGTTGAAACTCATTCGCTAGTAAAGGCACAACTAGCCCAAATAATGACATCGAAATGGGAAAAATAATGCAAACTTGACCAGACAAAAGGATCTCAAATATCATTAACAAAAACTTCAAAGACACCATAAAACAAACTAATGAAACAAAATCAAGCCTAATCAATTTCTTTAATATTCAAAAAAATCTTAAGCAGCGAAAATTAAAAAGAAATTCTCAACCGATAAACACTAGCATCCAAGTTTACGTGAATAATTCTCTGATCTTAGTTGAACTCATAGAGTTGCATTTAACCCCAACGCTACATCATATAAATATAAAATTTCCACCCCTTTAATGCTTTCAGGTTGTTTGTCGTCTCAATTTTCACTAGAATTACCGGCAGCCATTTGCTTCAGTGCCACTGAGTCCATAACTTTTATACATTTAACTGTTGCTATACCTTTCTGTGATGAAGATTTTGTTATGTAGACTTTGGAAAGTTAATTTTTAAACAACAAGGAATGAGAGGGGCAATAGGAAGAAAAGGAGGAAAGAAGCACACCTGCTGTCACCTGTAGCACATATGCATGTATATGAACACTGTCTACAGCCACCAAACATGTACGTGTGATGAAGAAACATACTTTCTAACCGATACTCTTTCATGCCCACTTTGGCATTTCTCATGACCTATCGAACAAGAAATATGTGCAGTGAATAGTTATGCCATATAGAAAGCTGAAGCACATAATGGACTAGACCAGCAATATTTCAGGCAAACAGTGTCTTGAAATCTGAAGTTTATTTTATAGGACAAGGAAACAGAAAGAAGAACATTGAGAATAATCAGAAACAAATATCAAGAAGAACACAATATTTGGTTTCATGGCTTGTTCAAACTTCTATACTGCATAACACATATTCCTTGGTTCTAGTATTTCATACATCAGAAAGCAAATGTGGAAGAAATTATTCTTTGCAAGTCAATCAAATGAATTTCCATTCTTTAATTTGCAGAGATAGGATTGAGGAAACCCCTAATATGTGATGTAACTCCAGATGAATGCTTGCTTGTTCTTTTTCATGAAAAATCAGCTAGCTCATGTATCACTTTACATGAAGCACGCATGACGACCAAATCAACTAATTAAGATGGCAAATTTTTCCCTTTTTCTGGATTGCCAGGCGAAGGTGCACCTGAGATTGCAGTCTATAACTCCAAGGATCATAAAGGGCCCTTTAAAACATTGCGCAATTTTCCATCTCATATTAAAACTTGGATTTCAAAAACACAGGTTAGGCTACATATGTTGTTGGTAGGCATAAATTATGAGCATTCAAAAGGGAGCATGTTTACTATTTTACGAAAGATTCTACATGACAAAGTACTGACCTCCACATGGGCTTCTGAGCTAATATCGTTGGCAAATTGGATAAGAGCAAGCTCCAGGTCCGACTTTAGGACGCAGCATTCAGTCAAAATCGGATGCAAGGTGTTCATATCCGTCTCAAATTTCTCAATCCCCTAAAAAGACATGTTAAAGACTGTAACAGTTGCCCTTCAAGGTGAACTTCCGTGTGACCTTGTCATTCGGTTTGGTTCAGAAAATTTTGCAGGCAATCCAGACTTGCGTTGCCCTTCCACTCTTTGTGGCATTTCTCCTTGTGTTGTGGGAAACCATAGACATCACACATTCACACCCCATACTACATCATAGGTCTTGGGGTATCCTTGGGGGTGTTCGCAATAACTGGCGGATTAGTAATTTATATCTTCTGCAAAAGCAAGGTCAAGAAAGTGGAAGTTGAGCTGATAGACAATAAACATGGAGACATTTTTAGAATTTGGAACTATGATGGAAATATGGCTTATGAAGACATAATTAAAGCAACCAATGATTTTGATGTCGGTTATTGCATCGGGACAGGGGGTTATGGCAGCGTGTACAGAGCTCGGTTGCCAAGCGGGAAACTAGTGGCTTTGAAAAAGCTTTACCGTTTGGAAGGCGAGAATCCAAATTTTGACAAGAGCTTTAGGAATGAAGCCGACATGCTATCTAAAATCAGGCACAGGAACATTGTAAAGCTCTCCGATTCTGTCTGCACAAGCGATGCATGTTTCTGATTTATGAGTATATGGACAGAGGAAGTTTGTTTTGTATCTTGAGAGATGAAACGGAAGCTGTGGAGCTGGATTGGATTAAAAGAGTGAATTTGATCAAGGGCATTGCCAGTGCATTGTCCTACTTGCATTACGATTGTGATCCGCCAATTATTCACAGGGATGTATCAAGCAACAATATTCTTTTGAATTCACAGCTCGAAGCAACTCTTTCTGACTTCGGAACTGTGAGGATTTTGGAACTTGATTCGTCAAATCAAACAGTCATTGCGGGCACCTTTGGTTACATGGCACCGGGTTGGTTACCTTGCTATCCCGGATCACTTCTTTTCACCAACTTGTTTTTCATATGCACATATTAGGCTTAACTTTCAAGGACAGAAAAGAAAAAATTCTTCCAACTGAAACGATTATTTTTTTTTTCTTGAATAGTAAGTCTAGAGTTGTCCAGTTGAGATTAACTTTCAATGCAGAGCTAGCTTATACCATGGTGGTCACTGAAAAGTCCGATGTGTATAGCTTTGGCGTTGTGGTGCTGGAAACGCTGTTTGGAAAGCATCCACAAGATTTTCTTTCCTCCTTTTCATCACAACCCAATGAACCAACAATGCTGAAGGATCTTCTTGATGCCCGTCTATCCCGGTTGCTTATCAATTGAGGAAAACGCTGGTGATTCCTTTATTTATTTTTTTTTTTGGAGGAAAAAGCTGGTGATTCCTTATTGCTTCCTGGATTTTTAACCTAAAGTGTATAATAGCTTAAGAAAAGGTTGTACTATTAAAGAAATTCTGGAGCGCACGCAGTACCCATAGAATCCACGGAAAACAGGGAGTTGATACGTGTAGGAACCACTGCAATGACGGAGCCAGGGGGCCCCCTAAGTTTTGAAATTTTTAATTCATAATATGTAAATATATGTATAAGACAAAATTGGTCCTCCTTAATTTTTATAATTTTAGTTTATATTATGAGAATTTTTATATATATATGTATATATATATATCTGTGTATGTGTATGAATTAGCCACCGTTGATTTAATTTTTTCTTCAAAAAAAATTATTTATTTTTTATTGTGCTAATTATTTAACATTCAAAAAATTAAACATATAATTTGATAATCCATAGTAAATTGACTCAATTTGATATATTATAATAAAAGACTCAATTCATAACTATCAATGGGCTAAAACAAAAATACTTACTTTATTGGTCCATATACAAATATACAACTTAGCCTAATTGATAAAAAATTTAAAATTAGTGGTCTATACTCTTGTTGACCCATATACAAATATACAAATAATTACTTGAAGGTTTGGTGAAGACAAGAAATTGAGTGATCTATCTTATTGTTGACAAATTGATTATATTTATTCTCACTCTTCCTATGTCAACTGCAACTATAGAACGGGCATTTTCAATTATGAATATAATCAAAACAAAGATCCAAAACCAGATAAAAGATAATTTCTTGAATGATTGTCTAACAATTTACATAAAAAAAAAAAGAAGTTG